CTGAATCCTGCTCTGTCCTGAGCCAACCTCACGGTCACTGACACAATTACCCCTATTACCTCATTCACTGTGTCAGTCCATCTCATCCGGGCTCTTCCTCTCCTGCTTGTCCTTCCATCCTTCCATGACTGATGTCCCTCTCCAAGGACTGGTCCCTCCTGCCAACATGCCCAAAGTATGTGCGACAGAGTTTCAAAATCCTTGTCTCCAAGGAGCAGACTGGTTTCACGCTCTCTCCTTTGTTCTCTGGGCAGTCCATGGTACGTTCGATACTCTGCCCCAGCACCACAGCTCAAAGGAATGGATTCTTCTTCTGTGGTCTCTACAGGAGCAGAAGGCCAAGTCTTCTCTTCCTTTTCTCCCCAGAAGCAACGGCTGCTGGACTCGAACCTTCAACTTTTGGTGTAGCAGCACCACACTGCTTGTACTAGTGTTTAGGGGACATGGAGGTGAACCTCTCCTCTCCCTTCAACTCCAAGTGATTTCCCAGATGGACAGAGGTGCCTCCGGGGACTCAACTTCAGCCCAGAACCGGGAGGTGGACAGAAACCCAACCAACCACTGCCAGGAGAAGCATTCTGGTGATTAATTCTTTTTTTCTTTCCTCTTTGACTGGATACCACACTTAGAAAACAAGACTTTTCAGGACTTTAAACAAAACAAAATCTGTATTTTTACAAACACCTTACTAATCATGTGGTACACGGACAGTACCGCTCACCAATTTGCTTCCCAAAGAAAGTGTTCAAGGTTGCAAAGCTTCTGTGCTCCCAGCACTCTGGGAAGGTGGAAAGGTCGCTGGTCCGGTTCTGTCACGTTCCTCAAGTGGACAGTCACCCAACTGCAGACACCTGAGGGCCTGAACGCCCTCCTACCGGCCTGCCATCACATATTAACATATTATCAAGCCTGCAGCGCGACTCTTCACATTATACTGAAAATAACCGCTTTGGGCAAGGAGATGGCGGCCTCTACACCGCCACCGGTGCGCATTCTGCGCTCTGGGAGGTCCGCAGACGCTCGGGAGCCGGTGTGCGCACCTCCTCCAAGGCTTACGGTAGGCGCGGGAGCAGGGAACCACGTGGCCGCGGCCTTGGGGCCTGGCGGGAATGCGCGGAATGCGTGGCGCGTCCCCGCACCGCCTCGAGCCGCAGCCAGAATAAAGAAGCGCGCTCCCCCCAGCCCAGCCTCTCCCATGCCCAGCACCGGACGCAAGCGGACACCCCGTGGGTGGGCCTGAGGTGCCAAGCGCGCCCCCAAATCGTCCGATGGGTCGCGACACAGATCTCGCCACCAGCCCTCTGTGGCGCAAGTCCGAAGATCCCCGGGGAAGGGGTACAGGGCCCTAGGAACAGAGAACCCCCTCGGACCCCCTTCTCAGGCCAAAGTGAAGTGTGGAAATGCTTACAGGCGGGGTCTACAGGAGAAAGCCAGCTAGAGAGGTGTGGGGCCCTCCAGCAGGAAGGGCAGGTGACAGGCTGCGAGGTGGGAAGGCACGTGCTGTCCCTCTGGGTCAGGGGCGCAGCCTGCGCGTGGACCTCCCCCCTGGAAAGCTGCTAGTGACGGCCCCGCACACCCTCCCCGGGCCGGGTGCCACACAGGCCTCGAGTGGGACATAGCTTCCCAAGTTGCCTCCCTTCCTGCGTTCTTGGCCTTGGTTGGGGGAGGGGGTTTGCTTCTCTACTGAGGGGCCCACTGGAAGCCTAAGCCGGTAAATACCAGTGAATTTAGGGGTTCGTTTTGCTCCGAGGGCCCGGCGGTGCATATGAGGGGTGGGGGCGAGGGCAGAGTCCACTTTCCAGTCCAAGTGTTTGCACCTTCTCCCTCGTGATCCCAGAAGCGTTTGGGGCTTGCCTCAAACTCCCGCGGCCACCTCATCTGCACCCTTAAAGCAAGGGACGCCCCAGCCTCGCCACTCGACGCCTGGGGCCTGAGGAAGCCCGTGTGTGTAGATGATATAGGGGTGTTGCTGCCCAGTTCCCAACTTGTAGGGACCTCAAGCCCTAGGTGCGCCCACCTCGCAGTTTAGGGGCACCCGCGATCCGCGCGGCTGAGCCGCACCAAAGCGACAGAGCACGTGGGCCATAAGGCGTGCCCCAAAAGGGAGAAGAGGGGGGAGGAGCGCGAGAGCCCCGGAACCCTGCAACCCGCCCTCGGAAGCGCTTTCCAAGGCGACTTAAGGGCTTAACAATGGAAAACTCGCGGGGACTGAGCCAAGTCCTTTCAAGTCGCCGCCAGGTATGCGGCTGCAGGTGACCCCACCTGGGCGCGCCGGCCCGCCCGCCATTCTGCTGCGAGGAGCGGGGGCAGGGCAGGAGCCGGAAGGCGACGCCGCACTAGGTCGCCCCCGGGTTTGCAGCCCCTTCGGGAGAGCCCCCCGGCGCAGGCAGCGCGCAGCCGCGGTGCGTCCAGGGTCGGAGCCGCGCGCCGGTTCCTGAATGAACGCGCTCCCTTCCCCCCCTGAATGAAGGTTCCCACAGCCAGGGACAGTGGCAAAGGCGCGCCGCAGCGGAATGCGCCTTCTCCGGCCGCCGATCGGCGGGGCCGCCGCCACCCCCCCGGGGGGCCAGGGGAGGGGGTTCAGTAACGGGGAGTTTCCTTTCAAACCAAAGTTGTTTGCTTTCCTTCTGGGTTGAGCCACTGGTCCTTTGTCTCTCGATGATCCCACGAAATCTGCAAGGAGCTGCACTTTAAGGGGCTCAGGACCCCCAGTCCCCAGTGCTGGGAGGGTTTTACAAACATAGTGCCAAGTGAAACGAACCACAGCAAAGTTCTGAAAAGTGGCTTTTCTCTTTCTAATAAAACACAAAAAATCAAAAAGCGTGCCCTCTGCTCGGCTAGCAGCAACAATCGCTCACAGGGCCCGGGGCGGAGGGTTTCCTCGGGTGGGGGCCCGCCAGGCTGGCCTCCCGGGTGGGGATTGGGCGGCGGGCACTCCCTGCGGGGCCCCAAATTCCTGCGCCTCCCCCACCGGTTCCTGGACGGCTCTGCACGCCCGCCCGCCGGGCTTGCACTTTTGCGCCCGTCCCTGAGCCGGGAAATCAACGAAGTTCCTCGTTGAGATCTGCCTGGCCCGCCTAGTAACAGCGCCGCGCCCCCATTGGTTCATGCTAATTCCAGTTTCCTCTCCTCCTCGCGGTGGGGGGGCAGCTCCCTGCGGGCCCGGGAGCGCGAGTGGCCGGAGTGGGCGACCCTTTTCATGCCCCGTTGCCCCTCGCCGCTGTCGGTGGCCCGCGCCTCGAGCCTGGCCGTGGCGCACGCGGGGACGCGGGTCCTCGGACCCTCGAGACACCGCCGCCGGCGAGGGCGCACGGCCCCATAAATCATCCGGCGGCCTCCTGGTTGGGATTTTATGAATGAAAAGCCGCCTGGCCGCCCTCGTGCGCAGGCTGATGCAGCGGAGACTGCGCGCTGTCCGGGGACGTGGGTACCTGGGGAGGGGGCACCCCAGTGGGTGCGCGCTGCCCGGTCACCCACCTCTTTGGGAGCCTGACCTTCCCAGGGCCGGAATATTAGCCACCCTCATCCCATCGCGGGGAGGTCGCAGGAGGAATCCCCCCCAAGCCAGGGGGGAGTCTACACTCGAAGCGTGCGACCTTGCAAAGCCAGAGAGCTTTCGGGAAATCTTTTCTTTTGCCCCTTTTACTATAAGGGATTTGTGATTTTAGGACACTATCGAGAGAGACGTAATTCTAGATTTGGGGTAGGTAATGTAAAACCTGTGAAAAAAATGTTAAGATTGGGTAAAATGTCTTTTTATAAGTACCAAAAAGACAATTCCCACTTAATAAAAACAGTGCATAAGTTTTTAAATTTGTGTCCCTTTCTTGAGTTTGAGTTGATATTGGTGTCCCAACCCTTGTTCCAAGATCATGTCTAGGTTTTGCTTAAAAACTCATTCGTTCAGAGCCCCTATTTCTCTTCTCTCTTGAGTTGTTCTGATTTGTACCAACCCCCACCTCAGCGCTCCTAAACGTAGCCCCAGGGCAAATTCTAAAGGTGAAGAGACATCACACCCTTAACAAAACCAACTCGGAGGCTTCCGGTGGTCTGGTCCCAGGCAGAAAGGTGGCTAATATTTCCAGCTACAAAATTTATTTTTAGTTAAAAAATGAAGCAGGACAGGGACCCCTGTCTCACAGCCTTTCCTACCGAGGTGCCTCTCTCGGTTGTTGAAATTCTGCCCTTTAAGGAGGGGACGCTTGGAGACCCTCTCCAGTAGGGACTTGCCAAGGTAGGAAGACGTCCCGCGAGTCCCCCAGGCGAGCAGGACAGGGCGATGGAGGTACTGGCCACCATTTTGGGCTGCTGCTGGAATTTTCGGGGATTATTTTATTTTCTTTTTTAAGCGAGCCAGGGCTTTGCTGAAGCGCCTGTAACATTCAGACCTACCCCCTCGGGCATTTGCAGCGACCCCAGAGCGCCAAATGCAGGCGCCATCGCGACCCGCCTGCTGCTCAGCGTCCCCGCAGCTGAAACAGTTCCTGGAATCTACACGTGTTCATGAAAATGAAAGAAAAGACAGAACGCGTGATTCCCTGGCGGTCCCTCCGCCCGTGGGTGCCCTCGTGGCGTTTTCGGAAATGCGCCCATTCTCCCGGCTTGGATACAGGGTGTCGCAGGGGCCCCGGGGTACCCCTCGCCATGCGGTCTCCCCAAACTGCGTGTGGCCTGCCCGTCCTCCTCGTTGGCCCCCTCTGCAAAGCCCCCTCCCCAAATCCCTGGGTCCCACTTGGGAAGAACGAGCCCCCACCCTGCACCCCGCGGGGAGAAAGGCGGCCGCGGGGCTATTTGCATTTCTATGAAAACCCGGCTGCGGGGGGAACGCCGCCGCGGGGCAGGCGCGGCGCCTTCGGGATGGCTTCTGGGCTCTGCCCCTCACGGCTCCCCAGCGCTCGGCCCGCGCCCCCCTCCCCCGGCTTTGATCTCTGCTTAACAACAGTAACGTCACAGGGACTACAGGGGAGTTTTGTTGGAAGTTGCAAAGTCCTGGAGCCTCCAGAGGGCTGTCGGCGCAGTAGCAGCTAGCAGCAGCGGCCGCGCGCTCCGGCGAGGGGCAGAGCAGGGCGAGAAGCGCCAGGCAGCGGGAGGAGCGAGGCCGAGCGCGCGGACCGAGCCGCAGCCCCAGCCAGCCGCCTGCCTTTCCAGCCGCCCGCCTTCCCAGCCGCCGGCATGGCGCACCAGCTTCTGTGCTGCGAAGTGGAGACCATCCGCCGCGCGTACCCCGATGCCAACCTCCTCAACGACCGGGTGCTGCAGGCCATGCTCAAGGCGGAGGAGACCTGCGCGCCCTCCGTGTCCTACTTCAAGTGTGTGCAGAAGGAGATCTTGCCGTCGATGCGCAAAATAGTGGCCACCTGGATGCTGGAGGTGCGTGGCGCCCGGCCGCCCTTTGACGACTAGTCCGCAGCTTGTTACTTCAGTCCAGATTGCTTCGCCCCTCGATTTCCCCCTTCCCCCCAACTTTCCGGTTCGCCAAGTGGGTTCTAGAAACTCGTCCTTTCCAAAGAAATAGATACTGTGGGTAAAAATCTTTAACCAGGAAGAGGTGGGGGTAGGGACGTTAGAAATTCCCCTTCCTCTGGGGTAGATGGCTGGAGAAGGGGTGTCTTAGGACAAGTGAATGCCAGGGACACCCGAATGAACCGATGGTGTGGGTCCACAGGCAAGGCGACTTTGGTGGCCCCTGCCCAGCCGCCACGGTGCAGCCCCCGCCCCGCGCCTTCTCGCTGCGCCTGCCTTCACGGCCGCCGCTGCCCGAGGCGCTAGCCCTGGGTGGAGGGGGGTATCTATTTGATTTTTAAATTAATATCCAAGGACACGTATGCAAGGGCCACTCGTGCCAGTATTATGCGCCATCTTTGTTCTTTATTGCAAAGCAAAAGTGTTTATTAATAATTGGGGGAGGGGGTGGGGAGCGGTCGGCAGCCTGCAGGAGGGGCGCGGGGGCAGGAGTGAGCAGTTCTGGGGGACTCGGCTTGGAAAAGGAGACCCCCTTTGTTCAAGGAACGAGCTTCAGGGCACCCCGCACTGCAGGCTGGCCCGGAGAGCACGCCGGGCTGCAAGGTCGCGTGGCCCCCAAGACTGCAGGAATTGACCCTTGTCTTCAAGGAGCTTGGCTTGGGGAAACCTGCCCAATGCCAGCGGGGTGTCCGGGGCACATTTTCAGGCCCGCGGTGGGCATCTAGAAGGACCGCGAGTATTTTTAAATAATTTTTGAAAATGCGGCGTGGTGCCCTTGCTAGAGAGAAACAGCGCTCGCGCCCTGGAGATAGGGGTGCCCCTGAATTTTAATCCCTGGGGCGCTCCCTGGGGCCTGCAGTCAGCTCCCGAACCCCGGCCTAGGTAAAGAGCCGTCCGAGGGTCGTTTTCAGGGAATTTTTATGCTCCCACTTATTTTTTTAATATTTTTAAATATTTTTTGAAAAGATGACGTCTGGGGAAAATGCGCCGCGGCGGCCTGGGACGCCACCTTTGTGTCTCGCAAGCGCTGCGATTCCGCGGCGCCCAGCCCCGTGGCCCGCCCCGCAGCCCATTGGTGCGGGCCCCCGGCCAGACGGGTCCCAGAGCCCCCAGGTGGCCCAGGGTCCCCGGACCGCACCGGTGCCCGCTCCCGCCCCCACCATGCCAACCCTGCGGGACTTTCCCTTTCAGTTTCAGGGCTGGGTGGGTACTGGGGGGGCATGGGGGCGGGGACGCGTCATCGGAGGCACCCGCTACCCCATGCCTGTTGCCTCTAGGCGCTGGGGCCGCAGTCCTGGCGCGCGGGGTAGGTATGCGGGGCTGGATAGTCCCCTGCGCCTGGCGCCCGCGGTCAGTCACGGTCCCTGCGCACCCTCAGGTCTGCGAGGAGCAGAAGTGCGAAGAGGAAGTCTTCCCGCTGGCCGTGAACTATCTGGACCGCTTCCTGTCGCTGGAACCGGTGAAGAAGGGCCGCCTGCAGCTGCTGGGGGCCACCTGCATGTTCGTGGCCTCCAAGATGAAAGAAACTATCCCCCTGACCGCCGAAAAACTGTGCATCTATACCGACAACTCCATCCGCCCCGACGAGCTGCTGGTAACCGGAGGACCCCACGGCCGGGCGGGAGGGCACCCCGTTTTCTGCAGAGGGATAGGAGTGCGGGTGGCGAGACCATAGCCGGCCACCGGCGGACCCTCGGCCCCGAGGAAACGCAGCCCGGCAGCTAGGGGAAGAGACCCTTGGGAAAGTTGGGCACAGCGAGCCCCCCATCGCCGCGCACGCGGGGCCCCCACATCCCACTTTGCACCACGTTTGCGCCCCGGGAGCGCAGGCCAAGAATGGGCGGCGCTCGCCCTCTGGCGGCAGCGCGCGCGTCCGTCCGGCGCGCTCATTAATCAGCCCTTTCGTTCCAGATGGTGGGAGGTCTTATTGTCTCCCGCGTGCAAACAGCCGGCTTAATGATCAGGAGCGCGCGCCCTCTGCACGCGGCACCTTCTCGGGTTTGATCTGGGCTCAAGAGTTGTCTGCCCCCTTGTCCTATTTCCTGGGCTGCCCCCTCGACCCCCAGACTGACCCTGCCCCCCAACCCCCTGTGCCCTCCCCGTCTCCACAGCACATGGAGCTGCTCCTGGTGAACAAACTCAAGTGGAACCTGGCGGCCACGACCCCCCACGACTTCATCCAGCACTTCCTCTGCAAGATGCCAGTGGCCACCGAGAACAAGCATATCATCCGGAAGCACGCGCAGACCTTCGTGGCTCTCTGTGCCACAGGTAGGCAGGGTGGGGGTCCCCATCCGGGCACAAGACCCCAGACTCCTCTGTACTTCCGTCTTTCTTGAACACAAACACTGCTGCCGACTCCTCCCGCCCTCCATGAGGCTATAAATCTTCCACTGGTGGAGTGTCCCTCTATCTCCTGTTAGGGGCGCGTTTTGAACGACCACCTTTTGGGGTTAGCAGCTCCATTTAGTCATTATCCTGAAGAGCTACATTGAGGGAGGGGTAGCCCTCTTTGGGGGTCCCACAGTTCTCAGAGCAGTAGGGCTGGAGGGGTAGCTAGCTGCCTTGACCCCTAGAAGAAGTTTCCTATGGCGGTGGGTCCTCCTTCCCATACCCCCCTCCAGCTCTTCCTCGTGTACTCAAGAGGCCTGAGCCACAGAGGCCCCCTCCTGGCCTCTCCAGAACTGGGCCCCTGCCCACAGGGCCTGCCCCAGTGTGTGCGCCTTGGGCCCCGCCAAGGGCCACTGGGCAGGGGAGGGGCTCAGCAGTGGCCCCAGCCCCGCCTCCAGGCAGTGGCCCTCTCCGGGACAGCCTGTCACCACAGCTCATGGCCAGGTCCCCCCGCTGATGGTACCCGAGGAGCCCCAGCCAGCCTGATGGAAGTGCCTGGGCCCCGTGTCCTCAGTCAGGCCAGCACTCATATATGTTTGGAGATTCACTTGAGAGAGGGGGCAGTTGAGGTCTTTGCCGACAACCCCAGAAGGGACAGAGTTCCTGCCCTGGCATGCAGACTGCGTGTGTGCAGTGGGTGCCACCCCAGTAAGTCAGGGATCCTGTGAGGTTTGAGTGATTCTCTGGGCTCCTACTGCTTGGTTTTGGGGAGCAGATAAAAGAAGACATAGACACACACACCCTGGGGTGGTGAGTCCCTTTCCTGACCCACAGCCCTGGGCCGGCTCGGCGATGGGCAGACAGCTGGGGCACCATGGAAGAGAGAGGCCTTGGCAGGGTGGGTGGCCTTTTATGGCACGGAGAGCGGTTTTGGAAAACAGTTACCAGAGACAGAGTCAGGATGGCTCCGTCCTCCCCCAGCACCTGGGGGGGGTACCATCCTTCGAGGGGCGCCTGCTTCGGAGAGACAGGGCCAGGTCAAGGGCTGCAGAAAGGCCACATGCTGGTGGTCAGCACTGCTCAGAGACGCGGGCTTTGGCCAGCACCCCTGACCCAGCCTAGGATCCTTCCACAGTGGAGTTGAGGGGTGCTTCTCTGTGCCCCAACTTCTCTCCTTGCCTGAGGAACAGAGAATTAACTCCAGGGATGGGGGGCATGTCTTTATACCCTGCAGCCAGGTTTCATTCAGAGCTGACAGGTGTCACCCCCTTTCTCTATCCCTTGGAACTCTGTAGACCAGGGAGTCTGCGTGTCCTCCAAAAGCGTGCAGGTGGGCGGAGCACACAGTTGGTGTGTGTCATGCACACACGTGATGTGCCTTTATGCATGTATACATGCGTGCATCCCAACATGGGTGTGTGCACGCCATCATATACCATCAAGTCCGTCCTGACCCATGGTGACCACACCGTGTGTCCACATACAACTGCCCACAGGAGTTTCAGGGGTTGCCACCTTTCATAAGCAGACCCCTGGGGCTTTCCTCTGGGGTCTGCAGGTGTGTTCAAGCTGCCAGCCCCTTACTGGGGAGCGAGGCCCCGTGTCTGTGGGTAGAACTCTTACACGTCGTTACGGAGCTCAGCGACTGACCCAGAGAGGGTGGCTGACCAGTGGCCATGGCAGCTGGGCCCTGCCCTCGAGAATCTGGGCACTGGCTGTCAGCACAGCCTGCAGCTTTGAACTGTGGACCCCAACCCAGTGTTGCTGCTGTTGGCAGTGGATACTTGGGGGGGGGGTGAGAGTTAGTCCTGCACCCCGCGGCTAACCAGAGGCTGACATGACAGTTCCTGCCCCCGTGGGCCCCTCCAGAGGAGGGCCTGGCAATCTGCCAAGAAGCCAGCCGTGAGAACCCTGGAGCTGAGGCTTACCCTAACATACACGAGTCAGCTGATTTTAGGGTGCTGCTCGTCTAGCTCGGGGGGCTGTTGCAGCTCTCGGGAGTCTGGGTTTTGTGAGTGAGGGCTGCACCAGGCTCAGCTCAAAGCTCAGAAGGCCCCTCTTACACTGGTACGCAGTGGCTGGATGTTAGATGGGCTCATTGGGGGACCGCTGAGGGTTTGGGGGACAGCTGGCACACCCTCCACCTTCTCAGCCACCTCTATGCCTTTAGATCCATCGTTGGCTTGGAAAGGGCCTGGTGCATGTGGAGGTGCCCTGGTCGCCCTGGGAAATGGCCCCCTGCACCCTCACTCAGTACCAGCCCCTCTGTCTCTGCTGCAGATGTGAAGTTCATTTCCAACCCGCCCTCCATGGTGGCCGCCGGGAGCGTCCTGGCTGCTGTGCAAGGCCTGCACCTGGGCAGCCCCAACGGCCACCTCTCCCACCACCGCCTCACTCGGCTGCTGTCCAAAGTGATCAAGTGTGACCCGGTGAGTTGCGGCCTCTGGCTGGTTGGGATGGGGCGGGAGTGCCCAGGCCTGCAGCTGGACCCCTGAGGGTCCCAACCTCCAGGACAAGGGCCCTGCATCCATACAGCAGAGAAAACCTTCCAATGGGGAGATGTGGACAGGCCCTTAGTCCCCTCCGGCCCCTGGACTGCAGCCAAGGTCCCCTAGTGGCTGTGTGGCGTCACTGCTCTCATGTGACCCTTCCTAAGTGACCCTCTGGGAAGCCGGGCCGCACAAGGCAGCGCTGGCCACTGAGCCATGACCTGAAGGCAGCTGGGGCCAGGCTCCAGACTATCCGAGGACCTCATGTCCAGAGGTGCCAGGCCATGTGGCCCTGTAGGGACAGCCGAGTTCTCAGCTCTGGAACCCACTGGGGCCAGCCTTTCTTTGCCCAGATGCCTTTGTTTGCCCTTAGCCTTGAGTCTTTTTATAGGAGGTGTTAAATAGCAATTATGGGGGGGGGTTACCATATCAGGCCAGAGAGGTCAGAGGTGGCCAGTCCACCCGGGACTCCCCTGGAAGGCGGTCTTTGTGGTCTCCTAGCACCGAGACTCGGGGCAGCGGGAGCTTAGGGAATGTGCGTGTAAGTGACCGGCCAGCAGCTGATGACCTCTCTAGGAGGAGCTGGTCTGTCCATGCTCAGTCTTCTGGGGTGACCCACGTCCTCTCCAGATGGGGGGCACAGGCAGCTCCCCACTTACTGGTAGCAGGTACTGAAGGCTTCAAAGTTGGAGCTTCACAGTGTCAGTGAACTTGAACCACACAGAGAACATGCGCACTGCGCCACCTGCCGGCCGCCGGGGCCACTGCACGCTGACCTTGGGTGGACGTGGCTCTGGAAAGCGGCTTTCAGTAAAACAGCAAAAGTAGCTACACCTGCACTTGTAGGGGGGGCTGCCGGCACAGAGGTTAAGCGCTGTTTATACTGAAAGGTCGCTGGTTTGGACTCAGGATAAAGGTGCTGTCCACTTTTACAAGGATTCTGGCCTTGGAAACCCTGTGGACACTTGTCCTCCTGGACCACCAGACTGAATTGACATGGTGGCCTGGCCTCTCTGCTCATCAAGCTGTCCGAGTGACTCGGCCCAGCTCAGCCCCACACCTACCAGCCATGCTCCAGGTGCCCCCGGCCCCGTGTCTCCTCACGGTGGGTGGGGGTGGGCTACAGTGTCCACACTGTCAGGGTGCCTTGCTGACCCAGGTCAGCAGTTGGGCCCCCTGCCACTAGGACCCAGTTCAGGCCACAGAGGAGAGACTACTCAAGAGGGTGTGGGCTTGAGGCAGCTCCCATCCAGTCCCCGGGCTGTCAGGTCTCAGGTGGCAGGTGGAGAATTTGCCATGGCAGCCGGCAAGGGAAAGCCCCCCGCCCCTGAGTTGACAGGGCCAGCTGGAGAGTATGTGCTGGGGTGGGGTGTGTCCCGGCTCAGGGTAGCCATGAATCTTCCATTCGTGAAAAGCACGGTGTCTGGGCAGAGCGGATCCCGAGGTGGGGTGCCCCTCCACGGGGATTCGTCCAGGAGCCTGTCCATCTGAGCCACTGCCCTTTGAGTTAGGATCCAACAGGTCCCGGGCTGAGCCACCACAGTGCTCGCCGTGTGGTTATAGGGGACCTCAGGTGGGCCTTGAACCTCCAGAAGTCCCGGGGCAGCCTGTGTGAGCCCCTCTCTGCCCTTTCTCCCCAGGACTGCCTCCGGGCCTGCCAGGAGCAGATCGAGGCCCTGCTGGAGTCCAGCCTGCGCCAGGCCCAGCAGCAGAACCTGGACCCCAAGGCCGCAGAGGAGGAGGAGGAGGAAGAGGAGCTGGACCTGGCCTGCACCCCCACCGATGTCCAGGATGTGAGCATCTGAGGTGGCCGGGCGGACACCACCCACGGCCACCACCGTCGAGCAGAGCAGCGGCCAGCACCCTGCTGGGGAGGTGGGCACCTCTCCCCGGAGGGCGGCCGGGTGCTCCCGACGGCAGCATGCCTCTCCGGAACATTCTCCTGCCAGAAGGAAAGATTCGGTCTTCTTTCCCCCACCCACCCACCCTTTGCTGGGTCGTTGTTTTTTCCCCCTTTGCTTTCTCCCTGCCGTCTATGATTTAATAAGCAAAAGAGGTGGGGGGGTGACCCCAAAAACTGTCTTTAAAAAAAGAGAGTGAGAGAATAGCTGTCTGCTTAGCCCTGGCTGGGGCAGCTTCTAGAGCATCTTACACCCCAGTAATCAGCTAGCGTTTATATTAATGGGTTCATCACTGTTATCAGGATAGTTTTTAACCCGGAAGATATGTCTCCAAGGAGAGGATTAGGTTTGATTCTGTATGTGTTGAGAAAAAAAGAAAAAGAAAAAAGCATAAAAAAAAGAAAACCATTTAAAAAGAAGAAAAAGCCGCCAAACCATTATTTTTTTTTTTAAGTAGATTTTTTTTTCTTCCTTTAGCTAGAAAAGCATCCTATTCTCGTGCTTTTCCCTGAAGAACACAGCTTTAACGCAGCTCTGGCCCCGGCATCGCGCTTGCTCTGCCGTGCATGTAGTCACTTTACGAGTCATTTTGTGCATGTTTATTTTACTCTTAGCATCTCCACCTCCGCAGTCGGTGCCGGACCCCCTTCGGGTAGCCTCCTCCGATATGCTAGTCAGAGGAAACAAAATAGTGACATAATATATATTCTATTTTTATAATCTTCCTATTTTTGTAGGTAACCAGTTTATGAAATGCTAGGGGTTTTTTGGTTTCTTTTTTGCACCCACCTGACTTGGAGCTGGCCCGTGGCCAGGTTCACCCCACAAGCGACTTGGTTTTGGTTTTGCATTTTTTTTTGTTCTGTTTTGTGTGTGTGTCCCCCGTGTGTGTGTCCCCCGCCTCCCCGTGTTCTGGAACCATTCCATTTCAAAGCACTTTTGGTCCAGTAGAAGCTGATAGGGAAAAACCTGTTTCTTTGGGGTGGGGGGTGGCGTTCCCTGGGACGGTTCTGGAACATTCCTGTACTCACGTGAACACAGGACCACCGGGCAGGTGCATGTCACTGGGGTGTTCGCGGACGGGGTGGGGTTTGGAAGGCTGTTCTCAGTCAGGAGAGGGAAAGCCAGATGAGCGTCCTCACATTGCCAAGATAAGCACCCCTTTTCTGAGGAAGGAGTTGGTGGTTCGACACCCTTTGATGCCAGTTGATGTTGAAAATCGGGGTCTTAAAGGTTAACCTCGAGGAGAGCTTAAGGGTTGGTTATCTTTAGACATTTTACAGCTGGAGGTTTTTAAACACTAAAGTATATAATTTAGAGTTAAGGCTGAAAAAAAAAAAGAATATTTATTGCAGAAGATGTTTGCAAGGCCAGTAAGGTTGATAAAGTAATGCAATCTCCCCTTGATATTTGTTTTGTTTTCTCCCCACACACTCACCTTTCTGCCTCAGATGTTGCCAATCTAATCGTTTGTAAAAGACAGGTCCTCGTAGATGAGAAAAAGTGAAAAAGACAAGAAGGCCAGGGATCTGGTCTTTGGCCAGGAGAGTGATGAGTCACGTGGGACATTAAGTGTACGTGGAGCGACTCAGTTCCCAAATACTCCTTCCCCTGTCCCCTCCTTTTCCGAGAAAGTTGGCGACCAGGGGCAATCTGGGCGATAGACCTTGTCATTACGTAGGACGTGCTGGAGGGAGGTGGCGGGAGCGACGAGGCTGGTGCTTGGAGAGAAGAGGTGTGAGGTGGACGGACGAACAGGAGGACAGTGCGCTGGTGGCGGCCGGCGGTGGCTCCGCTGTCCCTGTCGCTGCGGGTGGCCGGCCAGCGCTCAGCAGGGTTTGGAAACGGATTTCACTTCGCTTCTGTTGTCTCTTTCACATTGTTTTGCTGCTATTTGGAGGGTCAGTTTTGTTTTACAGTGTCATGTACTGCCATGTTGTAGGGTTTGAATTTTCTCATAGAAAATTGTATTGCTGATGCCATTTCGGTTTTGTAGATTTTTTTCCTTCTTTTTTATGTGATCAATATGTGATTATTGCTCTATTCCAAAAAAAAAAAAAAAAAGAAAGAAAGAAAAAGGTTCCTGTTTCACGATACCTCATGCTTCACTTAGCCATGCGCAGACCAGGTGGTCGGGTTTATGGGGACATGCCCCCTGCCTGGGCGGACTCAAGGATGGATGGACAAAGAGGTGAGCCCAGGGTCCAGGACAGCCCTGACGGCTTGTGAGTTGTCATTGGGCTTGGGACGCGTCCAGTCTCTTAGGACATACTGGTGTGTCTGTTTCCGTCCTTGACGGCACCATGTTAATTTAAAGTGACCCCAGATCTCCATGAAGCCAGCTGACCGCCATGGGCCCGAACCAAAATTGGGCATGCTGGTGGACCCCGAGTCTGGGGCTGACCCCCCTGGCCGCACCCCTGCCCCTCCAGGAACACTGCTTGTGCTTACCTCAGAACCACCCACCGCCTGCGGCTTCTCTGAACCAAACCGGACGCTTGAGGGCTGTCCGCTCGCCGGCACCTGGGAAGCTGCATGTCCGGCAGCCCGGGGCGAGGAGCGGGTCCGGGGCGCGTCCCGAGGGTCTGGGCCTGCATTTCTGTGTCACAGTTGGTGGCAGCGGCCACTGCGGGGCTGCTGGTCCACCACTTCTCGCCATGGTCATGTAACCAGCACGTTTCACGAAAGCAGAAGACAAACATGAAAAGTCTAGAAATAAAATTGGTAAAACCCCCATGCTGTGCTTGCCTGTGTTCTTGGGGTGGGAGATGGGGTACAGGAGGGTCCCCCTCCTGGCAGGTGGGCTGCCCCATGCTCTGCAGGTGTTTTCTTCCTGCCCACTACCAGCTGCACCCTGCCTTCAAACGGTGACTGGTCATTGCCCAGGTCGGAGTTGGGGGCGTAGTTATCAGCTGCTGCTGAGACCAAGGAGAGACGACCCCCCTCCCGGGGAAGGGCTTGGGGTATCTCCTGTGAGTGGGCCCACCCCTATGGAACCCTCCACAGTAGCCCCTGCCTGGGTGAAGGAAGTGTCCTGTCCACAGTCACCTGCTGTCCTTGGCTGTTTGCAGAGAGGAAATGGGGGTCAGTCTATTAGCTCTTGTGTGAACTATGCTGGTGGTGAGGTCAGAGCTGAGAGAGTGGGGAATGTAGGACTCAAGATCCTATGAGACCCCACTTTTCACTTTGGGGGTCTGGGTCTGCACCCCTTTTCAGAACCTCTCCAAATAGTGTCCCTGTCCTGCAGGGCCAAGACATCCCTAATGTCCACGAACAAGGAGGACCCCCTGGACCACATGCCCGGGTAGTACTGCCTGTCACCCCAAGTTCAGTCAGCATGTAGGAGATCCCTGCTGTAAACCCCACCCCCAGAGGGGCCTGCTTCCTCGGCCACAGAGGCTGTCACAGGGCATCTGGCTGCTCTGCCCAGGTGACAAGAGCCTTTGAGACCCTAGGCTCTGCCTCTTGCTGTGTCCTCCCAGAGCCCTCGGGGCCCTACCCTAGCCTCCTCTCCACTCCCTCTGCCCACACCCTCTAAGGCTTCCTTGCTGGGCTGTCCACACCCCACTTCTCAGTGCCTTCTGTCCTCTGCTTCCTAGAGCCTGGTCACATGGACAGGGCCCTGGCCTCCAGGCCTCAGAGGTCCAGTAAGCACCCTTCCATCGGACCTGCAGCTCCTCCACCCCCTCACACCCGGGGGCATGGTGCACTGACCCCCTCAGCGCCCTCACACCCGGGGGCATGGTGTCCTGACCCCCTCAGCGCCCTCACACCTGGGAGCCTGGTACCCTGAACCCTCAGCACCCTCACACCCAGGGGCACGGTGCCTGACCCCCTCAGCGCCCTCACACCCGGGGGCATGGTGTCCTGACCCCCTCAGCGCCCTCACATCAAGGGCATGGTGCCCTGTGTTGTGATCCCGACGGACAGGTGAGTAGCTTGAACCTGCCTGTGGCTCGATGGGAGAATGAAGGGGCAGGGTCCTCTGATTAGAACTCCCAGTTTGGAAGCCTGACGGGGGCAGGAGCGCTGACGGACTGAGTGTGGTTTTCTGCATCCCCGTGCACTCATGCCAGCTGTTTGTACACCCGGGGCCCCGTGCACTCATGCCAGCTGTTTGTACACCCGGGGCCCCGTGCA